AAAATTTAGGTTCATTTTTAATAATAGGAGTCCTTGATGTAAAATTTATCAACCAATTAGGTAAAATTGCCTCATGATTTTTTTTCTTAAATATTTGTATATTTAATATATTGTTAAAATCAATTACGCTATTTTACAATTACAAATTGAAAATTAAGATGAATAAAAATATGTAAAACTTACTTGTTTATGCATTTCCACATTAAGGCCATAGGACATCTCATAATACTGAAACAAAAAAACATTATAATTAATATACAAATATATATATTTTTTCCAAAATTTTGGAGTACCAATTGCAAGCAAAAATTGATGCTAATAAAATTTTCACCCTTTCATTTTGTATTTGAAACATGATCAGACAATATAGACTTAACCAAAATTTTTGGTTAATTATTAAACTTAAACATTAATTTTGAGTATAGGAATTAATTTTTTGTCTCAAAAAATGATAACGATATAATTTCTCTCCATAAATAAATAATATAAAAAAATCTCTAATTTTACTTTAAAGTAAAGATATTAATTATTTGTTCAATGACATTACAATGTATTTTTATTTTCTGCTCTTTGTATATTATATACAAAATTCAAAAATTTCACCAAGTTAATAACCAAGTTATATTATTTGTTAATTTATATTATTTTTTAAGATATCGTTGATATCACAGTAATTTAATTAATGCTTTATTTTAATAATTTGAATCAAAGTGGTCATTTAAAAAAACATCTCTAAAATTAAAAAAACAATTGTGTACGTGTAAATAATTCTAGTAAATAATTTCAGAATAGTTAAAGCAAAAAAACTCTATTTCCTTCTCAAAATAAAGAAAATATTCTTCCTTATATAATTTAATTAATAAAATATTAAAATATAGTTAATAACAAAATGATTTCAGTATAATTAGTACAAAATAAATTTTCTTAAAATAATGATTTTAATCATAATTTCATTTAACAAATACGTCAAATATTTTGAAAAATCACATTAAACAAAACAGAAATTTGGTTAACATTAAAGCAAATGCAATTTAAAAATAATTGAAATTTTATATGCCTACATATAATTATTATTTATGTAAATTAATTTAAATATCATAAATAAAAGATATATTATAAAATTATTTCAGTATGGTTAACAATTTATATTATATTTTTAACAATATTTTTGTATTGTAAAAAAAAATTATATCGAACAGATTTTTTCTTGGTAAATATACACGATTTTTATTATTTCTTTGTGTTTATTATAATTATTCATTGTTTTATATAATTTACAAAGTCTAAGAAAAAAACAATTTTTATATACAAAAATATGAATTGTTTCGGTACAAACAACGATTTATTATAAGATAAACTAGAAAAATTTAAAGCGATTTTTTACCACAAAACTTTTGGCAACATTATTCATTCACAAATTTGCTGCAAAACCTAAACTTGATCGAAGTTCGAAGTATTTTGGCAAATTGACAAGAAGATAAATCAATTAAATATTATATATATATATATATATATATATATATATATATACTATATTACATATTTATATTAAATATTTTGCCATGGCTAGCATCACATTTTACTTTAGCAAAATTTTTGCAGCATTTTGTTACAAATTTTAAGAAAATTGATAGTTGTCAAAGTTTAGAAGGTCAAACAATGATAAGTTGTTTTTTGTTATTTTTCATATTCCTATATAATAAATTAATTTCGTTTTGACTTATTACCATGAACAAATGAACTAGAAAAAACACAAGAAGTTTTACCCAAAATGGACTAACCGTTCTAGAGCAGTTGATTGACATACATACTAAAAATTTATATATAAAATTATACATTTATATAAAAATTATATATGGGCTGCAAAAATATTTCAAATATAAAATTATATATTATATAAAATTATACATGTATATAAAAAATCATATATGGGCTGCAAAAATATTTCAAATATAAAATTATATATTTTCAATATTTGTAAAAAAAAATAATAATACTGAATATTAACACAAAATTGTTACTATTATTATTATTATTATTATTATTATTAACATTTGCACCCACTCATGTATATATGTTGCATTAATGTAATCGGCTTAGGCTAATATTATAATCTGAATATAATTAAACAGGGAACCAACGACCATGACTATGAGATGATGATGATGATGATAATAGAGCGAAATATATTTGAATTAATCCATGTACAGATTTAGCGATTATTATTATTGATTCCATTTGCAAACTCATATTTGCAAATTAATGGAGATCGGAATTAAAATATTTATAATAGACAAGGATATAATTAAAATATACTTATATATATATATATATATATATATATATATATATATATAATAAATATTCTTAAAATAGTTCCATTTCCACGTTTGATGATTATTACCAAGAATTGATGATGATGGCCAGAAGCGTTCTATTTCTATTTCTGTTCGGCTATTTATCCATCTATTTAAATTATAGTATGTTGGAATTGCTTTGAATTGAAATGGAGAACATTTTAGAGTAGTTTAAAATGAGCAAGGGAGCCGTTAATCGTAAATGCAATGCGGATTTGCTTAATGTTTGTTTGCCAGAACCATTTGACATTGTTGATAGATTATCGGGAAAGCATTTTGCAGTTGTGGTAAAGGATTTTGTTAAGATATGTATATATATATATAAATCTCCCAAATTTTTTTAAGAAAAACTACAAAAATGTCCGGGCTGAACTACGACTGCAAAATAAGTCTATAGAGAGAAATGAAGTATCTACCATTTTTTTAAATTAAGTATTATTAGTGAGTTTCATCAAATTTTTGTTAGTACTGAAATTTGTGCAGAATTTTGAGGAAAACCAAAAAAATATCTGGACTAACCTAAGACTTCAAAACTAGTGGTGTATGGCATCGTGCCTTAAGGCAAATTGCTGAAACTTCCCGTACCGTAATGAAATATTCGAGAAATTTTAAACGTTTTCAAATATATTATTACAAATACTGTAACTTTCATTATTTTTGCTATCAAGTCGTATGAAGAATTTACAATATTTATGTTTTAATAATTAATTTTTTAAAAAACATAATTATTTAATTAGTGTGATTTCTGTGTATGATTTATTTTCTGAAAAACTCAAATTGAATCTTGTTTCAAAATCCAGAAATTTAAATAATTTATTTAAAAATGAAATTTACATAAAAATATTCATTGATGACTAAGAAAATCTCATGCAGATTTACGCGTTTGAACAAGCTTTTTCAAACGAATTATCATGTTTGATAAAGTACAGTATTATTAAATTAAAAATTTTTTAGGTATGTAACCCTCGAATAAAAATATTTAAATTAACCATATATAATGTCCAAGAAAAAGTTAAATAAATTAAAAATTCTTGATTCTTATTTTTTTTATAAATTGATGATTAATATAAATCGATGGTTTCCTTTATTAATTTTCTATGAAATTAACCAGATCGTAAATATTTTATGTGAGTTAGATGAAAGAGAATTTAAATTTAGAATTTTAATATTGACATGATGTATGCCAAGTCGAAGGCGTTAACTTCGATTTATAATTAGATAATGTTCGAACATTAAAGTATATATATATATATATATATATATATATATATATATAATTGAAAAAAATTTAATGGTGTAGGTCTAGATGAGTCTTTTCTAGCCTTCCAAAATAGTGGGTTATTATCAACCCAGATAACTTAAATGTTTTTAACAAAAGAACCGATTTAAACCCTTCGGTTTGTAGTAATTTATAGATCTAAATATAATTAGAAGTACAGAGAAAAAAATTACAAATTATTAATACAAATAATTAAATTAAATCCTAAAAATCCAAACCAGTTCAAAAGAACATATGTTCAAACTTAACCATACCTTTAACAATTCACAACCTGTTGTTAAATATAGAAAAAAATAGTTACTTGGAAGATTTGCAGTCTCTTCTAAATTCCTTAAATTCCTCTACCGTTTATAATCATTTTTGTATTAATTTTTTATATGACAATTACAGATTTTTTAAATTTTTGGGTTGTTAAAAAGTTTTTTTTTCTTTGTAAATCTCTTTCTCATTACTTTCTTCACCATGATTTAGTTTTGAATTTATATCATTAGTTATAAATATAGTTTTCTTATAACTATGAGCAGTGTAAAGTTTATTAATGTTTTTGTCTCGGTCTTGTGATGTATATTTCTTCTCATTATATTTTATAATTAATATTCGATTATATTTGTAGTAATGGCAATAATGTATTTTAGATTTGGTGAATAATGATATAACAAGTGTCACAACGTATAATTAATAAAGTTTCTAATTCGACGAAAGGGTTGCTAATTATTTCTTATGGAAAACATGAAAAAAAATCCATTTGTTTTTTAGAATAAAATAACTTAGCGACAAGTGAATTAGAATTTTGAGAATAACATTGAATTTGCTTCTTTGATCATATTTTATAAAATAAGTATTTACTTAGAACCAAGAAGAACCAAGAAGCTGTAGTTAAAGTGCGGACTACCAAAAAGTTAATATTAAGAGCTCAAACTTTCAGAGATTTTTGTTTTATCAATTTTGAAGCATTTAAGACCCTGTAAGCAAAGAAATTCGAAAATGTCCACATTAAGGACCACCCTTATATATATATATATATATATATATATATATAACATTATCTAATTATATATACTCAAAATTATGCTATTTTTGTGAAACTGTTGTCAATTTATAAATGGTATAATTATACTAGTATTATAAAACAATTATGTTATTTGAAAAAAATAGTTATTTTTATGATTCATGCACTAATTACATTATATAATTTGTTCTGTCATTAAAAAAAAATTTAAAAAAATCAGATGTTACTTTGATGATTCGCAAGATATTATAAATTAGTAGTTAATTAACAAAAGATATTGTGAATAGACCATGAGCCAATTTAAGTTTATTTAAAATCTTTTTAAAATAAAGACTTTTTAAAAATTTGGAATCAAAAATTAATATGATATAAGCATAATCTTTTATTATCTAGGTATTTCGACCAATGAAACCTTTACAACACGATCCACCATTATTCATACTCCTGACCGTCGTGTGCCATATGATAAAATTAATAATAAAAAATACTTCATTATTATTAGATATTTTAGGTGTTTAATCAATGCGCCAATTTTGTTCAAGAATCGAGGAAAATTATGCCAATAAGCTCTAAATCCTTCGAA